TATATATATAGTATTCCTTTATATATATTTATTGTAAAGTATTTTCATATATATAATTGTCAATTACATCAAAAAGATATAAAAAGATACAAATATTAAAAAAAAATATAAAAGATTTGTACATTTCTGATGATAAAACAGTGATTATATAAGGTAAAACTCCCTTCTTTGGAATAGTCGAATAGCCAAAACAGTCGATAATGTCAGTATTCTTCAATTACCACCGGGCCCCCGGGCAGTCACGAAAATTTACCCCAGGGTTGTCGGTCTTTAATAGTATCTCGTCGGTGGTTTAAGCCAATCAACTTGCAGCTCTTACAGAAAAGCAGCGACGAATAGAGCGATTGAAAATCCCAATAGAGCGAAGCGAGAAATAGTTATTCTACCGAAAATCAATAAAAAATGTTGACTAAACTCTTTGAGATATAGTTATGAACAATAGAGCTATTATATTACGTTTGAATATTTCCGCCAATGCTGCCGAGCCATAGTTACAATAGGCGGCCGATAGTGGCGGCGGCGGCGCGTTATTACTTGTGAAATGATTAATTTGTTAATTTTTCAATAAAAATGCAATAAATCATTAAAATTATGATGGAGCAATAAGGAGCAATTGTTCTATGCCGGATTTAGTTGCATAGAATTATTATAAATATGTTTTTTAATAAAAATTAGAAATTTTTCGTTTTTATTAAATATTTCAAAAAATAATTTTAAAAGGGGAGCAATTGTTGATTCTGAGGGAGCAATTAGGGAGCAATCGTTTGAGCTATAATTCATTAAAAAATATGAACTTGCAGCGCCAACTTATTTCCGGTCCCGAAAACTCGTATAGCTGAAGCTATAGCAGCGGGCGGTAACAGCGAAACGTCTCGCGGGAGGAAGACGTTCAAATGTCATGTCGGTTCCTCGGGGGGGGGGGGGGGGCGAACGTATCGTAGGCTAATTATTATCGGCCACTGGGCTTTTTTGAGATATAATTAATTAATAAAGATTAAATATATCTAATATATATTTTTTTTAACAATATTCAAACAATTTTTTCACCGATTTGATATAACAATGTTTTAATTAATTGTTATTGATTATTCGATAAATAACTGTAGAAAGCAAAGAGCGATTTTCTCCAAATTTTTAGAAAATTACGTTCTTGTGATAACAAAACAATTTAGCAAGTATTTGCGACAAGACGCGGTTTCTCTTAATTATTATTAATTTTTTATTAATAATTTATTCTACAGCGATCGATAGCAAAAAGCGATTTTCTCTAAATTTTTAGGGAATCACGTTCTTGTAATAACAAAATAATTTAACAAGCATTTGCAACAAGACGCGGTTTCCCTTAATTGTTATTAATTTTTTATTAACAATTTATTCTGTAGCGGTCTTTAAATTATTTAGTGAGAATCGCTCTTTGTTAAAGACCGCTAGAGAATAAATTGTTAATAAAAAATTAATAACAATTAAGAGAAACCGCGTCTTGTCGCAAATACTTGCTAAATTATTTTGTTATTACAAGAATGTGATTCCCTAAAAATTTGAAGAGAATTGCTCTTTGCTGTCGACCGCTAGAGAATAAGTTGTTAATAAAAAATTAATAATAATTAAAGGAAACCGCGTCTTGTCGCAAATACTTGCTAAATCGTTTTGTTGTCACAAGAACGTGATTCCCTAAAAATTTGGAGAGAATCACTCTTTACTATATTCTACAGTTATTTATCGAATAATCAATAACAATTAAAGGGGGAGCCTCGTGTAAACAGCACTTTTTTAAAGATTTTATTACAAAAAAGTGAGAGTAATTATTGAATTCAAATAAAATACATTGTAATATTTAAGTTTTAATGTACAAGAAAAAATTTTTTTGTTAGAAAAAGAAAACAAAATGGCAACGCTACAGCTGCTTAAAGTTGGCTCCTCGAGTTTGCGCCGGGGAACGCCCAGGTCCTTGTAATTATCTGAAATCAACGAATTAAATTTTTTCCATTAAAATAAGATATTTTGTATTTCATGAACCTAAATTTAGCAAAAAAAACTAAAAAATGAAAAATTGGGGATAATTAAAAAAATTTATTCAATTTTCTGTTTTAAACAAATCGTTAAAAACTATATTTATTATAAAAATTTTAATATATTTTTAGGTTCATGAAGTATACGATACATTACAAATATCTCTACAAAGTTTCAAGTTCATCGGCCATTAACTTTTTGAGTTATATTCTCCGGCGCGAAAAAAAAGCGTTTTGAGAAAAACGCGTTTAAAGATAGTGATTTATATAGTGATATAGATTTATATTTACCTAAGCTTAATCTGCGATGCCAGGGCCGTAAAATAATCCTTCCTCTTCTAGAAAAACATCTAATTGTGCTGCATTTTCCTCTTTTCGAGCAGTCCTGGCCTCTTTTGTCGCTTTTTGTGATCGTCGATCTTGCCTCTTTACTCTATTCTTATCATAAGTATCAGGGTCTTAGGGACCTTTAGGATTTGATTTAGGCTTTGAAACTTTGGAAATATATTCTTCAGATGGTACATGAATTTTTCAAACCATAAAAAAAAAAATGCAACAAAAAAAAATTTTTACACGAGGCTCCCCCCTTAAAACATATTTTTATATCAAATCGATTTCAAAAACAGTTTGAATATTGTTAAAAAAATATATAAATATATTTAATCTTTATTAATTAATTATATCTCAAAAAAGCTCAGTGGCCGATAATAATTAGCTAAACCCACAAAAATAAAAGAAAAAGGATAAAAATAAACATATAAAAAGATATTTTTATTTGTTCTTAATTTTCAGAATAAAAACTCGTATTTATTTTATATATCTACATATTTCATTAATTTATAGTCTTAAATTATTTAAAGCATTGTTATTTATCACATTGCTTTGTGAAAGGATTAAAAAAAAACTTAAGGGCACGGAGATTCGAACCCATAATGTCGAGACTACGAAGTTGACACAAAACTACTCCGCCAACTTTCATATGACAGATATCCCTTCCGGCCTCCGGCGTCCTTCGCCACAACGTGAATAGTCTACCACGTAAGGCAGTTGGCTCATGATCCAGAGGTCCCGAGTTCGAATCCCATCAAGGTAGGTGTTTTGCTTCCTCATAGAGGAAGCTTTGTTTTCGTAAATTCGTATATGAACCTTTATATGCGTATAAAGTTGGCTCTAATCAACCAAATTTAAAAGAATTATATATAAAATAGGGGTAGAAGAAACCAAAGAAAAGATTGTTTTTGAGTTTTTAATGTCAATATGTTCAGAGTGTTTTAAAACGTCGAAATATTGCATTAAAAAAAATGTCGGTATGTGTGTATGTATGTATGTATGTATGTATGTATGTATGTCTGTGCCAAATTTACAGAAATTTCTATAACTCCAAAACTGATCAACTAAATCTTAACGAATTATGTATGAAATAGGGGTAGAAAAGACTGAAGAATATAATAGAATTAATAAAAATTGTTAATAATAAAGGGGTTACCGATTTCTGTTAAAAAAAGGTTTACCGAAATTTTTTAATTTTATTATATTCATCAGTCTTTTCTATATTTCTATTTCATATATAATTCTTTAAGGCCGGTATTCATAGTCGGGTCTTATATCCAAGATTGTCTTAAGTATAGTCTTAAGGCATCATCAGCCAATCAGAGGGCCGTATTAGCATCTTAAGACATCACTTCCTCTATGAGGAAGCCAAGTGCAAATTTTTAATTTGCACAATTTGTTTTTACTTATTTTATTTTCTTATTTATTTTTAAATACAGAAAATATTTATAATCATAGACTGCGTCTTTAAGAAACAAATTTAGTTAAAAAATAGTAATAAAATTTCAAAATAAATAATTTTTTTTTATGTCAGGTGAATATAAGGGTTGTCATAAATTCGACTGACATGGTTCTTCTTAGGTAAATGAAATCCGGCCCTGAACGTGCAATGCGTTACACATCTTGTCAGGACCGCGTTAGGTAACTTTTACCAGGGCCAGATTATGTATTATGGCACACCTGATCTGGACCTGTTCAG